CTAAATAAGATACACCATTTATAGGGCCAGCAAAATCAATATGAATTCGGGACCAAGGTTGGTCTGCTGGTGGCCACGGTATAGGCGGTAGTTGATGAGGTAGTCTTGCCGTTTGCTGCTGACACTTTGACCATCGTTGAACAAAATCGATGATATGCTTATCCGTATTAGGCCAGTATGCGAAACTTCGAGCAATAGACTTCATGAGCTGAACACCAGACTGTCCCATGTGAAACTGTTTTAGGAGTTTATTTCGTGGTACTTCAGGTATCACTACGCGCTCTCCAAATATTTAGCAAACCTGTACAACACATAATGAGCCGCGACGGGCAAATAGGCGTTTCAGGTCTCCCCTATATTGACTCTTTGGCCAAATAACTACTGGACGCATACTGTGTGGCATATTGTGTAAGGTGGCATCAGTGCTTATAACTCGCTGGATTTCTGCAGAAGTTGCTCGTAGTGATCGAACAGCATTGTCTATGAGGTGAACTACCTAGTCTTTCGCTACAATTACCATATCTTCACTTGATGCAGGATAGTCGCTAATTAAACGAGGTAGAGCGTCAGCTTGACCAAATTCGCTAGTTCGATTGCACTTAATATCAAAATCGTATCCAATTAAGATTATATTGCCCTGCATTGTAGTCAGTTAGCTGCATGTGTAGGGATACCGAATTTAGATCCGAAAATGGAAAGCAATGGTTTATGATCTGTTAGCAAAGTGAATCGACGGCCGTAGATCATTTTATGGAGACGTCTTACAGCGAAGACTAAAGTTAAGGCTTCTTTTTCAATTTGTCCATATTTCTTCTCTGCAGAAGTTAGTGTTCAAGATGCGTGCATAATCGCCTTTTGTGGACCACCTGGAGAGACATGTGGAAATGACAGCTCCCACTCGGCTTGCTGAAGCGTCTGCTGCAACTATAATTGTAGGTTTTGGATTGTAATGTGTCAAAAGCAATTTAGACGTTAACATAGACTTCAACTTTTCGAAAGCTGCTCTGCAAGCTCCGAACCATTTCCGGATTGCATTCTTCTCTAGTAGGCGATTGAGCGGATGTCGAACACTACATTATGCAGAGCATGGAGAAATGTGGAGTAGTAGGTAATTAATCCCAAGAAGGAGGGTAAAGAAGGCACATATCTGTAGGTGCAAGCATCTGTCTTATAGCACGTATATTGTCAGGATCCGGATGTCTACCCGATGCATCGAATATAAATCCAAGGTATTTAACAGATCTCAAGGAGAACTGACACTTCTCTGAACGCAGTCGTAATCCATTATCCTGCATACGTGACAAGACAGCTTCTGTTCTGCTGTAAAGTTCGCCTGGAGAATTCGCTACCACCAAGACATCGTCAAGATTGGCGGCGACACTCGGAATACCAGCCAGCATGGTATCCATCAGCTGTTGGAAAATAGCTGGAGCAGTTTTAACTCAGAAAGGTAATCCGTTGTGTTGAAACAGACCACGACGTGTGTTAACAGCGAGGAGATCGTGACATTCTCGAGCTACTTCAATCTGTAGATATGCGTCGGCAAGATCCAGTTTTGCAAGATAAGACCCACCATTTAAAACGGTGAATAAATCATCCGAGCTAGGCAGAGGATAGTGGTGCTGTTCTAGTGCAGCAGCATTCAACCCAGTAGAATAATCAACACAAGTACATAGGGACGAGTTTACTTTGTTGACAACTACGATGGGTATACTGCCCATGCCGAGCACATAACTAGTGCTCATACACCTTGCTGTTGTAATCTCTCCAATTCTTCGTCAACTTTTGCTACGGATGCATATGGAACTGGCTCTCTTTGGGCGAAAAACTGGTTTGGCATCTGGTTGGTAGTACTCGAAAGACAGCCTGCATCATCGTGGTGCAGTGGTCTCAACCAGGTTGAAAAAGAGGTGCAAATAGTTTGCATAAATCAGAAAACGAATTACCTGAATTTTGATGTTTGTTGACTGCATCGCACACAGAATTAAGTGGAACAACATGGTCAGCCAGTTGCAGACGGTCGAACTAATCGACTCCCAAAAGATTTAAATCATTCTGGGTGACGCAACCAATCCCGGTGAATTTGATATTATTATGGAAAGACACACTGCATTGAAGTTCACCAGTTAGTTGAAGGCGTCCGTCACATGGGCTGACAGCAGTTTGCGAATTGTTTGTAGTAGGTGGTGGTGATCTGGTGATATCATCTCAAAGTTTCTCTGATATGACAGTAATGTCAGAGGCGGTATCTAACTGCAGTCGTGTGTCTGTAGATCAATAGATTTCCGTATACCTGGTGTTGTGACTTGACAGGTTACCCGGAGACACATTGACCTTCTAGGAGATTTAGGACTCACTGTAGATCGAGATTTCGTTGGATTTTGGTAGCTGTGTTTGTGTGGCTGACAAAATCCGTCTGTCTCCATAACCGATTACATTACACTTGCGTCAACGACGATGTCTGTACGAGCAGAACCCCATAAAATGCCACTCTCCACAGTGCCAGCATGGTAGTGGTGGGGTCTTCTTTGAAATATTTTCTGAGGTTGAACTAGTAAGCACATGTAGCTTTAGGCGAAACATTAGGAACAGGGTGGGTGAGGACTGAATGGTGACGAGCGAGTCATGCTCTGTGTCATGATGCATGGATGTCAGAGCTTCTCGAAGTTGTCGATTCGACCAGGTGTGTATCCTTCTGCAAATTAATCAATCAACCGTTGACATTCCTCAGCTATAACATGTAAAGTTAACTTGGAATTTTGTTCTAGCTGATTGACCAGTCGTGTTTGGATATCTGTGAAACGGGGAGACTGAAGACTGCACATGGGAATCGGGGCTTGGAACTGATCGATCATCTGTTAAGGACCTGAGTGGAAATCTCTCGCATTCTCTGTTGACTGTTGCAATATGATTGGGGAAATCACCATTTTCATTCATCGTCAGTATGAGGTAACAATATCAATCGTATGGTGAATAGTGAAGAGTGGTCTCCAAGGTGCTCACTGAGCAGGAGCTTTATTGTATCGTCGAAACACTTGTGGCGCGTGGTTGTTTTTTGAGGTAGAATCACATTGCAATATCTTTCATATTCAGCAGGAGCCATTTTACGCAGTAACAATCGTAACCTCCAACCATCGTCCTGTGAGGCGAGGTGAGTTCTGAATAAGTCTTCATGGCAGTGATACCATGTGTCGAAAGTGACATTTGCGTCTGGCTCATAATCGGACTGTATGATACTATTCTCGATTCCATCGTCAATAGATGGTGCCCGAGGGTGTGAGTCGAACTGCTTGACAGTGAAAGTGAACCAGTCTGCTTGGTTGGTGATGAGCATTAACATCAATTTGATTGGTTGCTCAAATGATAATTCCAATTTTGTAGGTAACATAGTTCTTCCGTCACGAATATGTATGTTATGGAGTGACCGAGTGTAAATAGATGACTAACGATATGCAACAGACGATGGCGGGACGACTGATATTGTGCTTAGTAGTTGTTCAACTTCCCTGACTCGAAGAGTGAATTTAGGAAACCCACACACGTCATTGACGAAGGATACGTGTATTATTATTATTATTACTGGAGCAGTGAAAATTAACTATCACACAAGAGTGTCAATCAATTGAACAGTACAGTACAATTGTACAATAGTATAAGCAAATAACTGACAACATATATGAAGCAATAAGATAGATTGAGTGGTTTTTCTTACCCACCCCACCTCCACCCCAACTGTATTCTGATTGGCTGCATTGTCATGTGACAAAGGTCATATATTGTTATTTAGTTGGTAGACTGCAATATAGATTGTCAGTCACCAATGTCTAACGATCAATAGACGTGTATAGCAAACCATATCAGATTGGCAAACAAAGCAGATATTGTGGTGAGAGCTGTCTGTGTGCTAGCCAAATTGGTAAACAGCTATTTACGCCAATGTTTACTTCCCAAATCGGGATCATGAGAAAAGAACAAGAACAAAACCTAACCTTGAGGAACTCACCAACCAATCACAGAGGACTTAATGTGTGCAAATTCGATTCGCAGATATATGGTCTGAGTTTTTAAGAAACACGGCCACAAAGAGACGACAGAATAACCTTCAGCAAGAAAACAAGCAATCAGCAAGCTATGCTTCTCTGCTAACAATAACGAATAATAATTTACATAAATATCTCTTGATTTTCACAATAAACTTTGTGTTACCTTGCCCTTATCCTCTGTCGTCACAATATCACGTGACTTCACGCGCTTAAGCCAATCATCAGCCAGCCTTCCACGTCGATACATTATAGGAAATTGCAAAAGGATTATGAATGGTTATCTCTCATCTTTAATCAGTGCAACATCTAGAGAAATATATGCTAAAGAAGATTCAAATTTTTAACACAAATGTCAAACCGGCCAGTCAGTTCTTTTATATGAGTCAGAAACTTCGAGTGGCGCGTCACGTAAGGCATTCCCAGCACAGTACTGCAGACTTTTATTCACAAATGCCTCCGCTGACTCTAAAACTGAATACCAAATGACCGGCAACAAACCAACCAAGAGCAGATGGCATAACAAATATATATGCAGAAGAGGATGGAGATGGATGGGGGCATACGTTGAGGATGCCATTGAATGACATCATCTCGCACAATCCCCGCCATCGGTCAAGTGGAACCCTATTGGGAAGCGACGAGTTAGACGTCAGTGCGAGGGTGACACGGAGGAGATGAGAGATTATGGGCAATCTCATAGGGTTAACCAGCTGAATAGGACAGCAGAGAATAAAACAAAGGGAATAATATTAATAATAATAATAATAGTTCAAAAATGTACTGTATGCAATTCATCACAAACTGTTATTTTGGTGTGCATTACAACAAATTTTCTATCAAAGACAATGAATAGATAGATGCACACAAGCTACCACTACTCTGATATCTTTGGCGTTTCTTTCATCCTTGTGTTGGATAGTTTCATGATTCGTACAAAAAAGACGGGAAAAGAAGAAACAGACACAGAATACACACGCACACACACACACACACAATAGAGGAAAAGATGAGAAACTGTTTCGTTAAATGCTTTATTTAACTTGAAGTACAAAATTGATTCGTTTATTTTTGTCCTTCATCACCATCACCATCATCATCATCATGGATAACAACAAAACTAATATCTATACAAAGCATACTGGGAATTTTAAGATTCCTGACAGATTTCTTCTCCGACAGCACAACTTTCACGAACTTGTTGGAGGCAGTCATAGAGTATGGATTGTTTATTCTCACCCAATGGTTCTACTTTGATGAAAAGCTAAATTAAGAAAAAGAAAAAGTGACGAAAAATAACAAGTAGAAAAATCATCATACCGAAATACACACCTGCCTACCTACCTACCTACCTACTCAGAATCAATGAATTGGCAACAAAGCCAAACCTATACACAGAGTCATGCAAATCAACATTTCTGTCATGCATTGTTAGAAAGAGAAAATGACTCACCTTTTAACCATTTCATTTAAAAAATAATTGATAAATGACAGGATTCTATTCATACAAAACAAAAGGAAATGTCATAGTGGGATAACTTTGCATCTCTCATAGAAAGACAGTAATTTGAGGGAGGTATATGCCCCAACCTTTGCCTCTTTTTCTAGGCGTAAAGACCACTGGACCAGTCAACTAGGCAAGGTTACAGTCGACTGGACACTAGTTGGCAGTAGCTAGTGTAATGTGTCTAGTCCTTTATTAATATATGCGTAAAACTTCGTACTCAGGTGTTGAATCATTCCTATTACACGTATTTGCAGTTGATTCGATAAACAGAGCTTTCGTTATCAATCTCTCCCTCTACCCTGTTAGTTGTATTAGATTTTAAAACTGTCATCTTATCCCATCCAGCCTATTGGTATGGTTGTGTGTAATTGCATGTGGTGTAGTGCTATAACTGAACTATTCTCCAGATTTCTTATCTTATTATGAGGGTCACCTAATCTAGCTTTTGCTGCTAGGTTTTTGTGCTCCGCTAGTCTAACGGACTGACTGCGCTCTACTACTTTGACCTATGTGTATATTTGACCTTATAATCAGCGAAGGCAGTGTATTAAACAAAGTAAAGTGTTTTTTAATTGGTTCGACGGGATTGATCCTTTAACCGACAAAGTTTGTTTCTAATTGAGTTTGTGGGCAGTTTGAATGCCAACCACTTTTATTCCTGCCTGCCTTGTTAAGAATTCTGCGTAAGGTTTCCGAGGTTCTTCCCTTTTATGGAATTACTATTTATGATTTAGATTCCTTATTCTTGGTGTTGTCATTAGCTTGCGCATGTTTGACATGCATGTCGTCATTAATATTATTATTATCAATACTATCATTATTTCTTTTATTTTACATTCCCCCACATACTTTCTGACTAATTTATCAGGGTAATTAATATGATTGTGAACAATAAATTTTGTTCGAGACGTCATCCAGCAAATAATAATAATGTTTCACTCACTGTGTGATATATCTAGTAAACAAACTAATATGTCTAATCCTTTGTTTGGTGTGGACTGAATTCTATAGCTGTCAGGTTTGCAATGCGGCCACCATGGCACTCGGTGACTCGCCATCATGGAGCACTTTGAATTGTTGATATTAAATGGTTGGAGGCAATCGGCTCCGCAGGAAGCCTTGGTGACATTCTCATATGATAATTCCCATTAAATAATCCAATCAAAAAGAAGGTAAACTCATGTGTGTGTGTGTGTACTTAATAACATTACACTAAACTGTTTTGATTACTTTGTAAGCACATTCTGGCCAGGTTAAACTTTAAGCACCAGTAAGTGACCAATGTGGTGTGACCACACCAATGACCTTGAAAAGCTCAGTGAGCAAGTTAGTGAAACCTTCGTAAATAATATTGTAGTAGTCATGAATAAAATATGCTTAATGAAATGTTATGTTACTCAATGGAATAACTGGCAAATTTCAGGTTAGGTTTGGGAAAGATTAAGTTAAAGTTTAGGCTAAGGACAGGTTAAGGTTAGATGGAAGTCATAGCGTAACGACAGAAGACAAAGGCCAGGCAACAGATTGTTCATTGAGGAAATCAACAGATATTTATAGATTTTTATATACATTATTATTCGTTATTGTAAGGAGAGAGGTAACGTCTTCTGATTGGTTATTTTCCAGCTGAAAGTTATTTTGTTATCTCTTTGTGGCCATTTCTTTTTGAAGGTCAGACCATATATCTGCGAATCGTATCCACCCACGCTAAGTCTGCTGTGATTGGTTGTTGAGTTAGTCTTTGTCCTTGTTCTTTTCTCATGACCAAGATTGGGGAGGTTAACATTGGCGTAAATTACTGTCTACCAATTTGGCTAACAGACAGCTTTCACCACAATACGAACGACATTAGGGTTGGTTCAAGTTAGATTACGGTTAGTAGTTTAGGGATATTTTCATGTTAGGTTTAGGTTAGGGTTATTGCTAGGGTTAGAAGACCTAGATATAATTACATGCATAGAATGTGATTGAATTACTCTGTTGGTACTCCAATCCAAAACTGTGAGAGGTATTTTTGTCACACTTCAGAGAAAGGTATCGTATCCTGTGTGACAGTTTCATGCCTTTCGATTCACTATTTTCATGACTCTGCGTATTTTACACGCAAACATCGTCTTTATCATGTGGTTGGTGCATTTAAGGTCATTTGCCCATTGGTGCCTATTGGTGCAAAAAGTCTAACTTTGCCCACATTCCTGTTTGTTCCTCTTTATTAAGAATGTCATCCACAAAACCCGCATACAGAGTCCTTACAGTCTTCAGTTTGTAAACCAAGCGGAATAAAGAAAACAAAAGAATTCCAGTTAAAAGATATCTAAGTGTTGGTTTGCAGGGGGATTTGATTGGTTTCAGGATTTCATAGACTGACATCCGTTAGAGGACCACTGGACATCGGATCCCAGTGACTTAATGGTCTAAAAGAGGTGCTGGGTTCGAACCTTATTGCAGGCGAACTGCAGAAGAGTTTCAAACTTGGACGACACAGCCGTCCAGTAGTCACAGCTGGTTTTTCAGTGGTCCTCTAACTGTTGTCAGTTCATGATGCAATCCTAAAAGATAATTACTTATCAATTAGATCCTCACAAATGGTTTTATACCAATAAGTTTGTCAACATTTCTTTGTTGGATATCAACACTTCAAACGGGGTGGGTGGGTGATAATTAACACAAAGAAATCAGAACTAATTAAATTATACCCTAAAATAGTTAAAATCCAAACTCAATTCATTAAAATGTTTCAACAAAACAATAAGAAGACTTAGTTTATCTGAAACGTGTCATGTATTTGCTCAACGCATTTCAGACATTCTCGTCACACACACATACCTACTTGTCATACACTTTATATAAAAGGCAAAAAAGCACAAATTATCTTATAGTGTGGGTCACATTATGTACAGGTCAAGGTCACAAGTAAGGGGGAGGAAGATGACGTAAGCGTGTGGCTGCAAACTGGATTACCAAGGCAAGTTTAAAGTAATAAGAAATACTTTGTGGACACAAGAGACAGGTTTAAGTCTTTTTATGGCCATGGCTTGAACACATTTAAGTATGTGACCCAATCTTGTTGTATACGTGGGTTTAAAAGCATTACTGAAATCAACCTTCTGACCAGTCTCTATGATGTGCTTTGCTATAGATGATGTTGGACGTCATCAATTTCCGGCATCATTTGTATCCGACGATTTTATTTGTTGTTGTTGCAGTCACCACTTTGGAATATCTCCTGCAGCCCTAACCTGCATAGACCGATGGGTCCTCCCTATGTACGTGTCTCCACACATACATGTAAATTATTAAACACAATGGGCTGTGATACTACCATTCGGATGCTGTGAGGGTTTACAGGACAATATAGATCTCGTTTTCTCTATGAAAATAAGTTCGGCTGTATAGTAAATTGTCCTATCAGTTGCCGCCTTGAGTCTTTGTTTAGTGATCAGACTTTGTTGATCACGCCTGAATGGCAAGGATAAATAAGCATCCTTTTTGGGAGAGCTGACTAACTGAATCGGTAGAGCTCTCAGTTTAACGCCTCTGTAACGCTTAATGAATTTCATCGGATAAATGTTATGTAACAATATTTCTGTGAAGTGTTGTGTATCTTCGTTAATAGTATCAGATGTGCATATAAGGTGAATGCACCTGAACAAACATTTGACCAACGCCTTTTTATACTGTAGTGGACAGAAACTATGATTATCGTCCCGTCCATGTGGACTTTCTGTAGACAGATCGTTTTATTCACCCATCTTGTCGGTAGGTTATGAGTACATCTAATTCTCTTTCACGTACGTTTGCGATATGCTGTTTTATACTGTGTTGATCTGGTTAAGGATTTCTATGGCATCTGTTGGTTTATGACAAATGACTATTATGTCATCCACGCATCTCTTAAAAAAAAAACTTTTCCAATTACGCCCTCAGCTAGGTTATCAACATGCGACATGTAAGTATACCAGCTAACTGAGGACCTAAGGGTCTCCCATAAAAACACCATCCATCAATCTCGCTGAAATGCTGAACCTCAAATGTAAACTTAACATTTTTAGTACATAAAAGCAGTAACTCTTTCAAATGGGATATGAACACTGGTAATACGAAATTGTCGTTACAGATGTGACCTTGACCTGTACACAGTGTGACCTATATTGTAATAAACCAGGCTATCTTGCTTGCTACCTAAATGTCTGTGACAAGTAGGTGTGTGTATGTATGTGATGAGAATGTCGAGAATGTGTTGCGCGAATACATCACGCGTTTCAAATAAACAACGTCTTCTTATTGTTTTGCTGAAATTCATAAAGGGAACTAATTACTTTAAGTTAAAAAGTTACTAATTAAGCTTGAATGATAAATTCATGATATTTTTCGATATACTCCTATTCTTAGTTTTGTACCTTTCAAATAATGAACACAATCTACTAGTGTTTAGCTGAGTGCAATCCCCTCAAATGACTGTCTCAGTGAGAAATTTAAAATTATCCATGAACTATTCTAGGACAAATGAATTTATTTAGAAAGGTTCCTTAGTAGAACATGAATTCACCAATGAAGAGAGAGAGTTATTCAACTATTGGTTTGTAGGGATTTGATTGGTTGATTGTAGGATTTCATGATGAGCTGACATCAGTTAGAGAACCATTGGAAAACCACTACGGAATACTGGACAGCCAGGTGCTTCGTCAGCCTAGTTTCCCACTCACTCTGATTCAGTACGTATACACACACCGACAGTGTTCGAACCCAGAACCGTCTTGGTTACAACGCTAGCGAGCTCATAGACCATTAAACTACCGGGACCCGATCCAATGGCCAGTGCATGAATTCCAACTTCTGCCAATTCACGATGTTATAGCGCGACCACTAGGCAATGTATTTGACTAGTATTTGTCGTCACACACGAACTGCTTTACCCCACTGGTCACAGCTTCCCACTAGAACCCCAGGTAACTACCTACCTGAATAGGGCAAGTCGCTAGTGAGCATCTCATTGATATTCAAGTATTGGTTTGCAGGGGGATTTGACTGATTGGTTTTAGGATTTCATCAGGTCGCGTATGAGAATAAATACTCGCCAGCGATGACACTGGCTAGTGCCAGTCGCGTTATAACATCGTGAATTAAGCAGAAGTTGGAATTCATGCACCGGCCATTGGATCGTGTCCCAGTGGATTAGTGGTCTGTGAGCTCGCTAGCCTTGTAACCAGGTTCTGGGTTCGAACCCTGTCGGTGGGAAACTAGGCTGACGAAACAGCTGGTTGTCCAATACTCCGTGGTGGTTTTCCAATGGTTCTCTAAATGATGTGACAACAACTAAATTTACCCAGCATCCAACACCTACCCAAATATGATGTGGACATTGGTGGCTCAACCACAATTGATGTTGAAAAAGTTGCCTTTAATCTGAAACGAGGCAAAGCAGCGGAATCTGATGGAATGACTCCAAAGGACAGTGCGATGATGAAATATTATTTGGGTTAACTATGATATTAGAGTAATATGTGGGAATCTGAGACAGTCCCATTTGACCAGTGTAGATTATCGATCATCATAGTTTATAAAAAGGGAGACAGGTCTCCTTGTAATAACTAACACAGTATCTGAAATTCTTCTAGATTGAGTAATAATCATGCGTAGACTAAGTGGTGGTCGGGATAAACACTCAGAGATCAGGATGACAGTGCATTGATCATATCTTCATCCTTTAACAGACTCTGGGACAAGCAATCACCCCCCTCTGTAATCTCCGATATCCATTAAGTCCCAATGTTCCACATGTAGTTATTCTTTTACCCGAACACTTCTGCTAAGTACAGTTCTTTGGAACTTTTTTGTGCATCTTTTCCTCTCCCTGTGTGTAAAACTTGGTGTGCTACACCCCTGTGCAAAGCTCTACACTGAAAACTTAGTTGGTCAGTCAGTCAGTCAGATAGTTGAGGAAATCACTCTCTACTTTAAAAAAATTGAGGTCACGTGTAGGCACTACTGGTGGCGTTGTAACACAGCGGTTACAGAATTCTCCTCTACTTTTCATGATTGAAAACCACCCGAGAGTACTGGATAGCCAGCCGTTTCGTCAGCCTAGATTGATTTTCATCATGAGTACGCACCCACCACAGGGAGCTTCGGACCCAGCACCTTCCGGTTACAAAGCAAGTTCATACACCAGTCAGGCATTGGGACCATGAATTCGAACTGGTACCAGCCACTGTCATCGGCAGCGAGTATTTGACCTCACTCCAGATAGGATGGACCTCATTTGTCAAAGTACTTCTCACTAAAACTACTTTGACAAGATGATATTGTGACGAATGATTGTTAACAAACTTATAAAAATAGAACACTATTCGCAAGAATCTGAATGAAGAGTAAACCCTCGATTTATTCTTCAATGGAGATTTCTGTTACGAATTACAATCTACAGAACAAACTGAAGTGAATATGAAATAAACGCTACACACACACACACACACTAAAGAAAACAATAGCTCATTCAGACTTCGTCTACTTCGACTTCAAATAGCAATCAAAGGTCATCATAAATCTTTCTCTTGTAGGAATGCCTGTGAACAACAACTTTCGGAAACTATGTGGATATTTTAGACATAGAAGATGCAGAATCTTGGAAACAATAAATACACTGACACGAACCTAATTTATCACCTAAATAAAGCAGTAATGCCAATTTAAAAATCGGGGCCAACTGAGTAACCAATCAAGGCGTAATAAGTGTAGGCAAGTCAGTAACAACGCACAACTCTTATAGCTCACTTATGCTAAAGAATTTGTCTCAGGAAACGTAACACTAATGATGGTAAACTATGATTGCAGATCGGGTAGTATACATGTGCCTTTGAATCTCTAGAAAGTGAAGAGTAGGTCAAAAGCTTGAGGAATAACCCTACAGGACACTAGCCTGTTTCCTTCTGGTAACACTTCGGTACATGACAGGGCATTTGGTGAAGTTCAACAATAGCGTCGCAAGAGTGCGAATGCTCCGGTGACCCTGAACGCATGCTAGTCGTTGGCTAACGGCACCTGTCCTTACCATAGCTGAAATATCAACGCTATTCACCAGCTAGGCAGCAAATGTCATTCAGATCACGTTTTTAAGTACTACTGTTTGGACAATGTGTTAATAGCTCGTTAGGGTTGGGATTGGGGTTAAGGTAAGTATTGGGGTTAGGGGTTAGGATCAGGGTTAGAATTACGGTTTGGATAAGGGTTATGATTCTGTCTGTTTTCGACATAGAACTTTGCAACGATGTGCAGCAGTTCAAGTCGCCACACTCCATAGAGCACACAAAGCAAGAGAAAGTAGAAAAAATGCATATTAGAAACAGTAAACAGAGGTGTGAGACAAAGGAATAGTAATAACGAAGAACAATATAGTTTCATCGGAAATTATAAGTCACAAGGAGTGTATGCATCTGCGCTAGCCATTTAAAACGATGAGTTTGAGCCATATCACTGATTGTCTCCACCCTTCATTGGTTTTTATTGTCACGAGGACCCAAACCAGGAAGTCTACACCTCCCTACGTGACTGGCTGGCTTAAACTAACTGTTGTGGATTTCATTGACTGATAAGGCCATGTTTTGGTTTGACCACTGCTTGATCCTGTGTCAGTCAGCTAACATTTTCCGTCGAGGAAGGCGATGACTAGGCGTACGTAACACATGTCCTAACCATCTCAGTCGATGCAATTTCACAGCCTCATCGATTGATTTCCCCTCCTTATCTAGCACTCGACGCCTAACCTCAATATTGCTCACCTTATTATACCACTTCACACTTCCCGACGGATACCTGCTACCTTGACGTGGTGGTCGGGCTTGCACATTGCGATGACCCAACAAGCTACACTGGATGGAACCAATGTTCCTGCAGGTACTACCATTCTAGGAAGGTTGTTAGGATAGCGATTAGACTAAAAGCAGCAAGAATCTCTCTTACACTATGCTGGGGGTCTGTGGGCGAAGTCGTACTGCTGTGGAACAGGGGTATAACAGCAGTGAGGTGTTTCCCTCAGATGACCAGCATGCCAGCCATGCTGTCTCTCTACTTTGGAGAGACGGGGTTAGAAAAGGTCGACCCCGAAAATTGTACATCCTGACTTACCCTACGGTGGTCCGTAACCAGTGGTAAGTTTACTAATACGGAACCAAACCAAGAAACCAGTTCATACAGGCCGTGTGTGACCGTCCTCAAGCAGTTGTCCCCTGGGCTCTCCGGTCACGCAACACTAACCCTCTCTCTGTTTCAGGTACCCGAAGAATCAAGCAACTTCCACGGTGTGGGCAGTCGGGAAGTAACAACCACCCACATACTTCCAAAAGGGTTATGATTAGGGACAGATTTATAGATGATGTCATTTATTTCAGTTTTTTGATTATCCTCATACTGGAGACCATAGTAACACAACCGAGAGCCTTGAGGAGGACTGCACAACAGAATAAGAGAGATGAATGGTTTACAAAAACAGCTCATCTTTAGACACGTCGGTGAATACATGTACAGAAACCAGCAACTGATACTCTTCATTATAATGGGGACGTAGTTTTAAGTCATATCAGAGAAAAATCCCCCTGTTTAATGTGTTTTCATGCATTTTCTTGTAAATGTACGTCATTTTTGTGCAAAAATTCCTCATTTTTATGACTGGTCGGCTGAAAGTCACCCATGCGTTCGCATCCCCCTTGGGACGCTATTGTTGAACTGTGCCGGGCACTGTTCATGTATCAAGTTAGTTAATTTTAAAACACATAAGAAATTTTTAAAAAACCAACCCTAATTTTTCTAAAAAAATAACTGCGCATGTAACTTTGTTAGATACACACACTCACACACACAAAGCGTAAATATCAAAGAAGATAGATAAAATAAACAACTCACAACTCACCTCGACATATTCAAGTAGGTCATTAATTTCAGATGGAGTCATATTGAATTTATAAGAACCTGAACAATAATCCAAAGCATTCACTATTTCTGGAGGGATTAAATCTACTCTTGATTTCATTTGAACAGCAAAAGGACTAGAAGGTCGAAGGAGACAAATTAAACGTAACAACCAGCCTAAACGATCATAATGTCGATGAGCAAGTGCCTCGTAAACAAGAGGCCCAGAAGATCCCAATGAAGCAATCATATATAAGGCTAAGGGACCATAGTAACGTGTATGTCGTAGTAACAGCAATGGATTCACCTGACAGTTAGCCGATAATTGATTGGTATTGGTAAGCGGAGTCCAAGCTAATTCATTGACACGATCATAAACACGATGACAGATTCTGCTGAAATTAGGATCATCTGGCTCGAATTGTACACATGTTCTATCCAAAATATACAAGAAAGAACCTTGATCTAGAAGTGCCTAATGAAACAAAGAAAACGTTGAAATGGGTAAGATGGCTTCAAAACCAAATAAAACTGTTATGAAAGCTTTTACAGCAACTCCTATATCAAAGTCTAAATGAGTATCAAAAAGAAAAGAATTTCGTCTGTCATTTATCTCCCCTATTTTCATCAGCACGTCTTCTTTGAGACAACAGAAAATGACGACAGGAGACTGAGAAAGGTCTAACCCAGCATTGAGGTTCAAAGGACAGATAATAAACAGACGTGTGAGGCAAAAGGTATAGTAATATGGAAGAACAATAGAATTTTATTGGATATTATAAATCACAAAGAGTGAATGCATCTGCGCCAGCCATCACCGAGAACGATTTTGAGCCATATCACCAATCGTCTCCAGCCGTCATTGGTTTCTACCATCCCGACGACGCCAACCAAAGGGCAGTCTACACCACCCGACGTGGTTGACGTAAGCTAACTATTACGGATTTCCTTGACTGATGAAGCCATGTTTTGATTTGACCAACACCAGCTCTTTTCCAACCTCACCCGTCCTCTATATCACTCAGCTACTTTACATTGCCTGTCGAGGAAGCCAATCGATTGTACATGTCCTAGCCTCATCTCTCTGAATCGATGTCACTTCACAACCACCTCGTCGATTGATTTCCCCCCCCCACTTTACCTAGCACTCGAAATGCTAACTCAATATCGCCCACCCTATTATACCACTACCTAACACACACGGGAGACAGAACGCAGACACATATGATCAAAGACAGCTAGCCAGCCAGCCAGGCTTTTCATGTCTTCCACTTTTAATGGCCATGTCTCAGTCACAGCCATAAAGGAGGACAGAGCGAAGTGCTGCTGATCGATAACCAGCCGGAAATCACGTCTACTAAACCAGAGATGACATAAGTTGGCGGGCATATGCCAAACGAGCCTTCTGTATCCGTGTTGAGATTTCGTCAGTGGTCAACCCGGTGGCGTTGGCTGATGCAACTTCCCAAATAAGTGAAGTGGTCAACACACTCCACCACCTCCCCCTGTCTTTAAGCTTGGAGTCAGTCGATGAAGTCCAGTCCAGTCTACTCCTGTAGCATCATCTTACATTTGACAGCAGCAGCGAATCGTTCGCATGCCAAACATTCGAAGATTGCTCACTGTTCAAGATTTCCAGAAGACTCTACTCCATTTCGTCAGCGTCTTCACCCAGGAGGGAGGACTACATTATCTGCATATTCTAAGTCAACGAGATTATTCCCTGGTAACAAGTTAATCCCTGAGTCACTGAAGTCAGTTAGGGTTAAGTCCATTAGTACATGTATGATGAAATTAAGGCGACCATATCACGTTGAAAGCACCGGTTCTCGTCCGATCACCGAAGTTAAGCGACATTGGGCCCTGTTAGTACTTGCATGGGTGACCGGCTGGGAATACCGGGTGTTGCCAGCTTTAGTGCGTCAGTGGCACAGCGGTTAGGACGCTCGCCGACCATGCACATGGTCCGGGGTTCGATCCCCGGCCACCGACGCACCCCTTTACCTCGCTAAGCCAGAAATAAAGCTGATGAAGAGGAAAGGGTGAGCATGAGGTTAGCGACCCCATCCTGTAAAAATAAACACTGCTACAGAAACTTCAGGCCTCCAGCTTGAAGCCCTATTTCCCACTGGGAACGTGAAGGAATAAGAAAAAATGATGCAATTAAACAGACATTGACGGTCATTCCTGACGCACACCGCTGGTTGCCACAAAAAACAAAAGAAATAGTAAATACGATCCTCGATAAAAATAATTATAAAGTATACCACCTTATAACAGTTAGATTTTTTAAAGACACTTATAACCACCAGATGGAGACCCCGAGTAAGTCAGTGGTTGGAGACTGTCAGTTGCATAACCCAAAATCGTCCTCAATGACATAGATGTATTCACTTGTTGTAGTGCTACAGATCCATCAAATCCTAATGATTCCTCATCTAATTATTCCTTCTCTCATACACTTCTACTTATTATAGTTTCATTGCATTGCATTTTCTACGCCATTTACATGCTCTCGTAAAATGCAGCAATATATGAACTGCCGCATTTTTCCTTCGCAATCCTACCTTGATAACTGAGTACAGTTCAGATATCAAATAACCAGGAAACGAATCCTACACATGAATATATGGAGTGTACATAAGAAAATTTTGTATTACACAATACGAGATACGCTTCAACTAGATAAAAGAAAAAGTGATAGAAATTGTCACTTACATTTAACTGTTTATCTTCAAACATTAAAGGAATATACAACCTTCGACCAGAAAGAGGAAAATACACTTGATTAATACGATCACGTTCACAAGCATTTGCATGCCTTAGAGTACCATTCGACTCTCTGACAACAATAAGACGATTTTTTCTATTACGTTTCAAAGTTGTATCTGTGAAAACCAGTTTAATATTCCCAGGTAGTAGACCTTGAAGACCATTATCTTGTGATATGATCTGGTCGTCTACAATACGCCTTGGTTGTAACACTGGTGGCATTTGTAATTTTTGTTCTGTATATACTGAAGTATATTTTTTGACCTTAAAAGAATTAGGGGTTAAAAAACCAGTTGGAATTCACTTACTATATTCAGCTCAGCATCACTCAGGAGTTTAATATTCTCCTTTCCAAACTTTTTATGAGTTTTTTGATGAACTGCATCTGTATCTGTGTGAGTGATCAGGCGTAAAAGATTATGAATTTGTGGATTTGTAAACAGATCTTGAAGATTCCTGGAAACTTGATTATTATCATTATTATTCCTTTTTACCAAGTCTAAAGAGTTAAAAAAAAAAATGTAATGATATATATTACCTGCACAGTGTAGTCGTGTGGCGGTAAACAATGTTCTCACCTTGTGCATACTTTATATATGTCTATGTGTGTTGGTGATCACAGAAGGCAAAAGTGAATGAAATCTGAGATGAAATATTGCAGTATATAATGTGCTAAGTAAAAATGCGTCCTCAAGCCTCCATAATTCGTGACCTATTAAGCAAAAATATGTAAGATATAGTTAGATAACAGGAAAATGGGAAACATTTCAAAAAGTTCGACACTTTTTTATTACTGATAAAATAGACGATAAAGAAAATACATCACAGCTATTGTTGGTATCCATTCTGATTTACGTCAAATTCAATATCAAACCACTTAATGACGAAGAAAAAATGAAGATTTCTTAGTTTTTGTCGTTTTATATTTTATAAGTGAAAAACTATACGAAAGCTATAGAGGGCGGCACATAATTATGATTATTCTTCCCTTGGATTCTAAGTGGGACATGGGACTTCAACTGTATATCCTAATTTACCTCGATTTTCCCTCTGCTATTCGTTTCAGCTAGATCCACAATTGCCACAACCTTTCATCCCCCCTCCCCAAACGGTCTCGGTGTCACACTCAGACGACCAACTACTCACCACCTCTTATTCGGGTTCCACTCAGCGGAGTGGCGTGTGATGTCACCCAAAGGTCTCCTCTGTGTATGTCCATTACATCTCCATTTCCTTTTGCATTTCACTAGGGTGATATCTTTTTCTGTTGTCGGTTATGTGCCAGAGTTTCTTGTTCCTTGTACTTTACGGACGACCTTATGGTCTTCAGTATCGAGTGAAGAAAGCTGTTGATGAAAGTCTGTTGAAGCCTGTTGGAAACGCTCACGTAACACGCACGCAGTCTCTGAATAACACAGCACCACTGATTTAACATTAGTGTCTACAATTTCGATCTTGTTCCTTGTGCTCAGTGCTATACATATCCACACTGATTTCAGAATGATGACTGTTCATTTGTCTTTCCCAATCCTACCCCGTTCCTGACATCCTCATCTGTACTGCTTGTTTTTGAAACGATTAGCCGAGGTAAGTGAAGGAATCGGCTTCTTATAGATTTCTCAAATTGACGGTCATTGGTGCTTGTCATTGTTGATTATCTTACTCGAGTCACTAGAACCAATATTTTAGTATGACTTCACTGCGTGAATAATAATATCTGACGAAGTTAAGGTATAACCACCAGTAAGTGCCAACGGACAGATGACCTTCAACGCACCAACTATACACGAGAAAGGTGATTTTTGCGCATAAAACACATATATTTATTAAAAGCTCAGTTACCTACATGGCATTGCCACCAGGTGCAAGCTAGCAGTGCTTGTGGAAAACAATGATTCTTTCAACACCTACAAGTTTACTGCAGAATTATTTGCAATGAGGTATTTTACACTGATATTTAGTCCATCCTTCAGAAACTACATGAACTAGACGACAAGTCACCATTACGTGCCATGTTAACCAAGTTGTTTGAACATCGACTGGTAGAATAGAATGAAATGACTTGCTGTTTTGGCTTCCACTATAGGTAGATTAGTCACACCTACTCCTTGTTTAAAAGCATTCACGGGAACACCCGGCACCCGGATTGCCCAATAGCATGAGAATATTCACTATGAAGAAACTGTAGACACAGCCACTTATCCAGTAAAATTAGGTACCACCTCAATGGCACAAAGCACAATATGCTGCAAAGTAAATGCTTTATGCTATCTCATAACCATAAAGTTAGAAACTCTCCAGGTATCACAACGGTACTACAACAAAGAACTGTATTTGGAACCATTTCAAAAGTTCAACTATAAGAAAAGTTGTAGTAGAAATTGGGATGATACACTGCCTTGTTAAATTTGCATACCAAGTGATGATTGGGATAGCTAAGCAGTCATGTTAACCAATATGCTGATGACTCAGATGTGGGTCATCAGCTTAAGCAGTCGACTTTCAGTTGATGAGCCCCGAGTTCGAGCCTCACTCCACCTGCTTCAGACAAAACAACTGGGTTGTACTACCAAACCTCAGGATGGTCGGGGGTGGGTGCCTTGCGCTGCGGGTTGGCCACCCCTCCGCACACCTCTTGAAATGCACCCATATGACCGGGCGTCTTACATAGCCTCTCCTGAGGAAGTCCCACTCACTGCCTTCACGTGGCGGAGGTGTTTTTCACCAAAGTGAGAGGGCGAAAGCGGATGCCCGGCGCTCTTCACCGGGTTGACTGTCCATTGGATGACAGTCTAGGGGAGATGGCTAAACCCTGATTCCAAACCTCCAACGACTGGCGTATGAAGCTCACTGGACCTCACCGGCAGACGTATGGACAAAGGGCTTGTTGGATGTCCTGGATGTCTGGCCCCATTCAAAAAGGCGTATGAACCGAACTCCGGTCACCGGCTGCCAATGGATAGTGGAATCCCTACTCCACTCCTACTGCCTTGTAGGTCACACTTGGCTGTGTAAAGGCTAGAGCTGCACTCTCAAACAAAAGGCCGAGCGATTCTGGGGACATCACTCGTACCAAATTCCCATGAAACTTCATGAACTCTCTTACAAACGATTCGAGATGTTCATGAAGCCGGCTCATCCTCCCGTAGGAGATAGCCGAATTAAAGTAAGTACTACCAAACACACATTACATCAAGTGTGGCTCATAGAGTGATGCAACTGAATTCTAACAAAAGCAATGCCTGACCACTGTCTGTCTGTTTTCGACATAGAACTTTGCACCGGTGTGTGGCAGTTCAAGTCGCCACACTCCATGTAGCACACAAAGCAAGAGAAGAAATGCACAATAGAGACAGTAGACAGGGATATGAGACAAAAGGAATAGTAATAACGAAGAACAATATAGTTTCATTGGAAATCATAAGTCACAAGGAGTGGATGCATCTGCGCCACTGAGAACGATTTTCAGTCATTGTTTCCAACCATTGGTTTTTACCGTTCCAAGGACTCCAACCAGGAAGTCTACATCTTCCTACGTGGCTTAAACTAAGAATCAATCAAATTCCACGGTGTGGGTAGCCGGGAAGTAACAACCGCCCACACACTTCCAAAAGCACTCGAAGCCTTCCTGAGCATCATTCTCTTTTACTCACATCACCTTCCTCATCTTGCTTCTCTACTACAGTTAGTACTATTCTGCAGGCTAGTGAGTCATCTTCTTCACTCACATCACCTTCCTGACCACTGGTGTAAAATTTCACATTGTTGTGTTTGTCTGTTAGAATGCCAGAAAACACAACTTATAATATTTGAGCACCTGGTAAAATGTAAAAATATTACCAAAAATAAGCCTTCCCAATTTTCTCATCAATTTGTGGAGACCTGAAACTAACTTAAAAAACCACAATAATGTATTTGGCGATCGGCCCTAGTGTACAGGGTTGGAGTTTGAGCCTGTGATCCACTGGTTGAAAGCTGAATCCATAATTTAACATCACGGCTTCTGAAGAAAGAAGTTATCGTTTTAAAGTAAATGGAGAAATAATAATACCTCTATTGACATAAAGACAAATACTATGTGGAAATCATTACAAACTGAAAAATGTAGTTATATAGTTTCTCAAAACCTTGCTCATAACCTTAGAGAAAGTAAAACTATTTGGATCTGAAGTCAAATCTTACTTCGTACTTCACAACCGTCAAGTGCAACAAACTAAAACACACCAAGTATAATTAAAAGGCCAAAAGTCTCAATAAACTATATTTATTATTATGCTCCTCAAAATCCCTACTAGGTATTTGCTCTATTAGAAGAGTTGATTACGCAAGGGAAAATATTGAAGTTATTAAAACTTGTGTTAAATGAGTTGAAGTGTTTTCAAGATGAAAGATCCTCAGCACGCATATAACACACATTACAGACTCTGTACTTCATATGTTGAGGACTCCTGTGGTCACAGAGTTACGGTTAAAACCTAAAGTTTGTATATTGTCCCCTAAAAAATAAATGACAAAAGCGGTGGTTTGCGAAAATATTATGATATCAAGTCGTCTCCAAAAGTTTTTAATACGATTTAGACATTAAAATCGTAAATGAACTTAATAATCTTAAAAACCTTAAGGCCTAATCATTGTAAGCATAGTGTCAGACCGACTGCTTTCAACATAGAACTTTGCAAAGATGTGCAGCAGTTCGAGTCGCCACAGTCAATGTAGCACACAAAGCAAGAGGAAGTAGAAGAAATTCAAAATAGAGAAAGTAGACAGGGATATGAGACTAAATGAATAGTAATATCGAAGAACAATAGTTTTATTCAGTATTATAAGTCACAAGGAGTGGGTGCATCTGCGCCTGCCATTGACAACGATTCTGAGCCATATCACCAATTGTCTCCAGCCGCCACTATTGCTTTTACCGTCTCGAGGACCCCAAACCAGCCAGGAAGTCTACACCTCCCCACTTGACTGATTTAAACTAACTGTTGTGGATTTCATTGACTGATGAAGGCATGTTTTCGTTCGACACACGTCCTTTGGTCGATAACCAGTCGGATATCACGTCTACGCCAGAGACGGCGTACGGCATATGCCAAATGAGCCTACTGTATCCATGATGAGATAGCCCACTTAATAATTAAGACATACTATAAATGCAACCAAAGGTCACCCACATTCTGATGGACCAGCAGACAGCTTTAGAAGTTAATCGGTGTGGTATTTAAATGAAACCCTATATTAAATCAATATATAAATAATGATATTTATGGTAACTACAATACAACTTTATCTAGGCCTAAAATTATCGGAAGCTTCCTTCGTCCCTAAGAAACATGCAACTACTGTTTAGTTTATTGTCATATTTGAGGAATGAAAACCCAACTAGTATTTCCTTCGGTTCCACTGAAGACATTGCATTTCAGAAAGTGGCACACCCTTCTGCAGTCTGCCACAAAACTATTGCTTTAGAAATAAATACTTTTCCCAATTACTCAACCAAAAATTTTTTGGAATGTGGTGGATTCGGGAGCGAAGCAAAGTTAAGGTGTAAGGAAATCCAACGTTCTTCATCACCAAAATTACTATGTAATGCAAACCCCTTCGGCATCACTCTCAGAGATCAACAAGTACTTGCTTCCGCATTACATACATCCCAAATGAGAAAATTTAATTTACAACTGCCCTGGTATGCGAAATAGTGCCTGCAAGGATTAAGGAACTGGGATAACTGATATACGATGAAAATGGATCAAAGATTTCCTGGCTTTAATGTCCTATATACGTCAAGCTGTATCACTGTACTTCTACAAAACCAAATTTACGCCAATAAGAACGCACATGGAGAACAATGAAGCAAAGAAATCACCTTGAATTCGTAATTTGAAGCTGGGTACTTAACTGTTTCGAGGTCACTGGAAGAAGATGAAACATAAAGGCTGGACTTATCCATCACGTCGGTTGAGACTTCACCTGGTAAATTTATTTTGTCAATAATTTTTAATAAAACTGTGTTATATGTTGTCCGGATTAATAGGAATTCTCATTTCCTGACTAGTCATGTTGGTGTCCGCGTCATATGATCTGACTACGACACACTGTCAGCATATTGGTGTTTTAGGTTGACTGTGCTAAAAATATCGCTACAATGAGGAAGATGGGATAACTGGAGGGTAATTTCATCTACACACATAGTCTACTTTATGTAGAAGCTGCACCTTTCGGCATAGTATAACTTAATGAAGACTACACATCTCAGGATATAAATGCAGCCTATTTTCCTGTTAAGAACAGTACTGTTTGACTATCAAATGCCATAGTAATGTAAATCACCTATAAATGCTAACAGAACCTTCTGTGGTAACAGAAGTTATCATGTTGTTGTTTCTTTCACCGTGTGTGTGTTTGGACAGGAATTATCGTTAGTCATGATGTTAGCTTTAAGTGAATTCAACATGTATTTGCACTGATTCGTGCAGTGTAATATGAGTTATGTGGATTCAATGTATAAAAAACATCTCTAATTAATAATACTGTGCCACTGTCTGCTTAGCTGACTGCTAGGCTAACAAATGTATGTGGTTCTGATGATTGTTGCAAGTGCAGTGCAGTGGAGAAGGCTGTATCACTTAGTGCATTAATTCAGTGTATGATATTATTAAACACATAGATTGCGTTGACTATGATAACTGCATCTATTCAGCTTTATTATTATCAATCTGCTGTCTGTTATACCATTTCCACTGACGCTGTATACTTAATATCTATGCTCCGACGTTTTCGATCACAAATGGTGGAGATGAACTTGTCGTGAAATTTCCATTTACGTGAAACAGGACAGATACAGTACCACGATTGAACGTCTAGGTTGCATTATCCTCATCAACACAATAGGTCTCTGTATCTTATGATATTTTAAGTGTTTCTCTATGCTGTTAACACTGAGAATAGGTGTTTGTGGTTGAGACATGTTCGGCCTATATTTGATGGCCATGGTTTCCCAAATATGCAAACGTAATTCCTGTAGGATTCAGAAAACCATGTTAACTAAACATTACTGAGATTGAAGATTAATTTCTAGGTTACAAATTTGCAATATATCTTTTAAGGTAAACGTAATTAGTGTGAAGTTGGTCTGCAAGTAATCTCGATGAGAGAATGACACCCCAACAGCATGGATGTTTTAGAGATTGTCTTGGAATTTGCGTATATTCCTCTAACACTGGAGAACATATGAGGTCTATTTATGCATACGACATCAATATAAAAACCAGCTGAAGACCACAAACACTTTTATAACAATAATATATATTTATTCCTATCTTTGTAGGACACACCAGTTGTACAGGCATGGATAAGTATTATTTACATTACATAAATCTGATTTATGGTGAAATTACATGGTCTCTGTCCTTTCCGACATTAGTTTGTGAGTACAGTCTGCTAACTAGTCATTCAATGGAGCACATTAAGAAATATAGAAATATTGTCTTCGCATTAACAAAACACCCAAGTATGTGTTAGATGGATTACAAATATTTGGGAAAAATAAAGCTTGAAGTCAATTTCTCCATATAACTTTGATGTGTGCGGCATCGTTTCTTGTTATTGATTTATATTTGCATGAGAAATTTACTTGGTATTGATAGGATTAATGTATCCACTTTGCATGCTTACAAGTGTAATTAGCTTTTATTACTTCAAGTCCTGTTAGTCCTTACATATGCTTTTTTCTAGGTATATTAAGGTTGTCGAATATAAAATCAGCGAAAATGTCGATCAGTCTAACGCTAATACCCTTCATCATAATTTTCTTTTGTAAATTAATGAAATGTTTAATACACTCTTAACTTTTACTTCTCCTGAACTTCTTCAAAGCATCACTATACTATGGGCTTTTGGAATATGTGAATTCGGAAATAATGCGTGTTAAGCTCGTCTAGTTGGATATAGACACTGTTATATTATGAGACTGTTACTCTGGTCATTCGCAGAATTTTACGTCTGTTTCTATACAACAACACATTGTGAATACTAAGTAGGATTAAGCAAGCTGAATAATAATTCATTACTGTCCCATACGCTAAATATTTCAGATTTATTGGTTGAGTATAGAGCCCATGTTCATCCTTTTCCAGTAAATTTCTGTGCTTGTCCAAACCTTTCTTGAATAAATCACAGACACCACTTCTTCTGGGAGTCAGTTCCCCAGGAGTTTACGATACCGTGTGCGAACCAGTACTCAACAGCAAGATGGCTTCTCCTTGGCTCTTGAACTCTCCTTCTATGTCCTCTAAGGTGTTCCGACCTGGTGGGAAGGAAAAGAGAGAATAGATCACGTCCGTAGTCATTTTTTAAAATTTTAAACATTGTGATTAAATCTCCTCTTTGCTTACGGTGTGACAGAGAGAAGACGTTTAAAATGTCTAGTCTTTTCTAGTATGATAGATTTGTTATGCCGAGAATCATGCGTGTTGTCTTCCTTTGAACCCTTCCTAGAATGTGAGTCCTCTTTAGGACAAGGACTAGCTGTCTGGATACCGTTTTCCAGTCTTGACCTCACCAGAGATGTGTTAAGGAGGTGAAAATGTCTCTGGTGATTCTAGACGCTCTACGAAATGCCCATAAGGATCTGAAACTACGTGCAGCCATCGCACGCCAGTATGCTGTAGTTTTTAAGTCATGACTTACTATGACACCTAAACCCAAATGAGTCTGAGCTGACAGGAGTGTTGTTCCCTCTACTTCGCAGGAGCTGATGATTGCGTGTCCAGTGTGCGTGGTTGTACATTTTGCAGCATCCATTCTTTGGACCACTCTAACAGTTTGTTGAGATCTCCTTGAAACGTGAGCGTGTCATTGTTGCCATTCAGCTCCCTCTAAATTTCTGAATCATTTGCGTATAGGACCATTGGGGAGAAGGCCGAGTGCCATGCCTTGTGGCACTCCACTAGGCACTATTGTCCAGGAGGAGAGTTTCGAATTAATCCTGAACCTCTGCCTCCTATCTGTAAGGAAATGCTTCATTCAGTAAAGTAAGCTGCCTTTGGTACCAAGACTTTCAAACTTCATGAGTAGTCTTTTGTGGGGAACTTTACCGAAGGCTTTGCCAATGTCTATGAAGACGACGTCGACGACCCATCCGTTGTCCCTTGATTTCAACCAGCCTTCTCTTGCAGTGAGAAGATTTGACAGGCATGTCAAGTTTCCTCGGAAGCTAAGCTGTGCTGTGGATAACAAGTTGTTGTTTTTCAGATATGCCATGACAATTTTCTTAATCATTCTTTCCGGTGTCTTGACTAAGGTGCTGGTGAGAATAATAGGCCTGTAGTTTGAGAGGCTTCGTCTTGATCCTCCTCTGTGGGTGGGAGTTACTATGGCGTCTCTTCAGTCATGCGCTTGAAGACTGTGCACTGATAGCCCCTGAGAAGCCTCAGGTGAAGATTATCAGGACTCATTGATTTTCCTTTGGAGATTCTTTCTTTAGTCATTTGAGCGCGATATCTTGGTCAACGTCAACGGAGCCTATCCTGTGTTCCTATGATGCAGCCAGATCTGATCCTATGGGGGCTTAGGAGAAGTAGTGTGCTAATGCTTCTGCGTTTTCCTGATCTTCTTCGATTGTGTCATTGCCAATAGTCAGGTTCGGGACACCACTGGATGTCTTATTCGTGAAGCTCATGTACGAGGAATTTTTCTTAAGCTGTGCCGTTGCAATTTGAGTCAGATGTGCTTCGAACTTCATCCTTGATTGGAGGATCTCTGTAATAACTTTGTTCCTAGTAGTGTTTTATAACTCTGGTTTCACGAGTCTCAAATGCGGTAAACAGGTTTCAACATTTGTGTATACTTCTGAGTAATTTACGGATCTCTCGGGGGGAGAGTGTTTTCGACTCTTTGGGACAGACCAAGGTATGGAAAGTTCAGTCACCTGGGCGTATGGTTGTTTGAACTGGTTCCATGTGGCTTCTACCTGGGACTCTGGGTTTGTGTACCAGTTTGCTGAGTTGGCTGCTGAGACCATCGCATTTATATCAGCTTTCCAAACTTTTGGTCGATCTGGGATTTTGGCCCATGATACTGTTGCTGTGAACTTGAAAGTGAGCACCGCGTTAACACTGCTCCCTAAATTAGGAAGATGTCGTATGACGTCTAAAACCTCACCATGGTAGAACACCAGGTCCAGGGTTGGAGAGGTTTGCTGCGAGCCATAGTGGGCGGGCTTCACGACATGTTGGACTAAGGCTAGAGAAATGCTAGATTCCAGCAGTTTATAATCAAAGGAAGTGTCTGAAGATAGCGTTGTAAGGCTTGCCCAGTCGACTGTTGGGGCGCTAAAGTCGCCGACTACGAGACTTCGACATTTCAATGATTTTCAAGGTTCCCCGACTCTATTGAAAAGCGTTTAAAGATAAATACCATTCAATGTATTTGACTAGTCTTCTCCACTTCACTTGTCCTTGCGAAGCATGTGTTCAATAAAGAAAGGGAAACTTGCAAATCACAAATAACACATAGTTCTTAGTCGGCTACTTATATGGTCCTTCTGGATTCCCTCATCAATAACTGCTTGTGAGTGGCTTGTGTTTTATAGACCCTAAAGTACCACACTTTAGAGACCAAAACTCGTGGTGATCAGAACTGCCTGATAAGAATCAAGGAGGAGCACAGAACAGGCGTTTTCCACTGAAGTCTACCAGCTAATTTCAACATCAGCTTTCTGATCGGAAGTATTGCCTATGGCCACCTTAAAATTAAGTCATCTGGACAGACTCCCCGTTGACTGCGTATGCGGCAACCTGAGGGGCAGATATAAAAACTGGCGGCCATTCACACACATATATTACACCGGTGGAAATATGGCTAACCACTTTTGCTTGCAACAGTGAG